ACACACACACACACACACACACACACACACACACACACACACACACACACACACACACACACACACATAAACACCCACTCACCCACTCACACAATGCCACAACACACTTACCGAAACATCCGAAGGGCGAGTCGGAGAGGTCCACCCTGATGCTCTTCACGCCGATGGTGAGGATGTTCATGCTGAGGACGTCGTAGTGGAAGGACAACATGAGCAGCGTACGTCCGTGGCGACTGCGGGTCGTGTACCACAAGGATGGCTTGAAGTACAGACCTGTGATGTTGCTGAACGGGTCGGACGAGTAGTTGAGCAGGCTGAACGTGAACTCGAACAGGTTAACGTTCTCTTCCTCCTCGGACTGAAAGAAGAAAATAATTTACGGTTTTGAGTTACTACTAAATGGTCGCTTTAGATTAAGGACAAGTGAACTAACCCAGATTTCAGGGGTTTCCAGAAATCTTGACCTACACCGAAAGTGGGCTTTGTCTAACTTATAGGAGAAGTTTGGTTTCATTTGTTTGACTATTTAAAAAAAAAAACTCTCCTTGTCTTTGTAAAAAACTGAACAAGGGGAAAAAAACTTTACCTTCGATTTTTCTCAAAACAGCATTTTTCGGGATAGCCCCCTTGTGCTTAAAAGCTACCAAATATCCAATGGTTATAAGTTACCATTAGTTTGCTGCGACTGCCCTGGTTCATTTAAAATAATATAATACCACCAAGTACTACAGTGAGGAGGTAGACCACCGAAAAGATGGATTGAGGGAGTCGACCATCGATTAGCTATGATTTTCCTGGTCCGTTTGAAATCTTATAACAACAAGTACACCAGGCCACTAATGAAGCCGTAGGCCATGCAAAGATGGATTGAGAGAGTCAGGGGAACCATGAGACACCTGCAAAATCTCAGTTTAAAGAGCTGCAGAGTTGGCATACCATAAAAAACGAGTTTCTCTCAACGCTCAATGACCACGGGGGATGAACAATTGAAATTAGATTTTCTTAGACAAGGCTGGAACCACTTGTCAGAAAATTCAAAGGAGAGACAACCTTCGACTCACTCTTTTGTGTTCTGATTTTGTTTTACAGTAGAGCAGCAATGAACGGCAAATATGTTAAGTTATCGAAATAATAACATTAATTGCAAGCGTTTCTTTTTTCATGGTATTTGTATTTTGATTCTTTTAGAGGAAAAAGGAGCGGGGCGGGGGGGGGGGGTATTTTTTTTGCACGTGACAAATAATGTGAGCACAAATTGTTTAGTAAAAATAACTCTCCTCCCCTTTTTTCTATTAAAAAAAAGCAGAGCGATGAATTGCAATTTTGTACAAATGACCAATGGTTTTCAATATTCAAGATCTCCGAACGCTTTTTCTAATACTGTTGCAATCGAAAAAGATGAGATAAGGAAACGGAGAATTACCGCAATGAAAAACAACTAGAGACATGACAATTAAGTTACGATTTATTTAAGACGCTGTATTCTGAATATACCTAAAGTCGACAGTCTCGATGCAATTCCAAGGTGTTTATAAGCAGACTTGTCTATTACTATCCCCAGCATCTCCACACTCAACACACACACACACGCACAAACACACACATACACACACACACACACACACACACACACACAAACACAAACACATACACAAACACACACACACGCACACACACATACACACATACACACACACAAACACACACATACACACACACACACACACAAACACATAGACAAACACACACACATGCGCACAAACACATACACAAACACACACACACACACACACATGCGCACGCATCCACACATATATACAAACACACACACACAAACACGCACACACACACACTCACACACAC